CTAAAAGCGGTCGGAAGGGTCGAAATCATCGAATATCATAATTGGATGTGATTTTGATGAGGTATGGACCGATTGGAGCGATTATTGTTAGTGGGCCGATTTCCGTTCTTATGCGGACTTCACCTTTCCGCCTGGATGCCCACTGTGTACATCGTCTACAAAATGCATCGGAACATAACAACCCAATGCGATGTATTTTTCGTACTTTTCTACTGTCATTCATTTCGAACTAGAAATGGATAACCCACCATTTTGTAGAGTTTTCAAAGCGATTTCTTCTGATACATAATATAGACCGCAATCTGGATTCTTTCATGGTGAAAAAATAGAAATCCAATCATAGACTATGCTGAAAAGGTTATTTTTAACGGTAGTAGTCAAGGACTGTTGCCAGTCTCTCAGGATGTCGAAAAGAGAGAGTGCCATTCTCTGCGAGCGTCAACAACCGCTATTGCTACTTTCTGAGGGTGTAAGTAAGAGGTACTGCGCCGCTTTGAGGGTATCAGTAAGAGCTGCTGTCACTCACTGAGGGTGTTAACTAGAGTTGTTGCTACTTTGTGAGGGTGGCAGTAAGAGCTACTGGCACTCTCGAGGGCTGTAAGTAAGGTGACCTTCTAACAGTCAAAACGTAGAAACAGTTTTTGTATAAATAAAAGTTTATTATACGTTATTATTATATATATTATTATATAAATTTTATAAATCTGAACTTATTATTAAATGTAATATAATTTTACAATGGAAATGTAAAACGCTGCTGTTATATTACTATGTTCATTGTTTGAAACACTTGTAAATTTAAGTAGATATGAAATGTAACATTTGCCGAGACCTATAAAAGAAACTATGTTTTCATTTCAAACAAAAAATCATGAAAAATAAAGCTATTGTTTTTTAGCATGAAAAATTCGAGTACCAAACCAGATATAAAGTAAGCTAACGGGATAAAACAAGGTAAAACTATTATATATCCAAGATATGTATGATTTTGTAGAAAATATACAAAGTTCACTTTTAGATATAAATAAATACGTAACCGATAAGAACATTACAAGAATAAGCAATTGGCTGATGTGTGACGTATTACGATGTTTATGAGCTCTTATTCGTTCAATTAAAGCATAACGACATATTTGCAACCATAAAAAACTGAATCCAAATATACTGCCAACAATATAAATCTCATTATAATAAAAAAATATAAATAACATGATTAAACCTAATAAACCACAAATAGCTTGATAAATTTGCGCAGCAACTACTTTTTTGTGTTTATTCTCGGAATCTAGTTCGACACATCGAAAATAATTACTTTGATATTCTACAGTTATTAAACTTTTTAAACATGTATTATCAGCAGCAATACCAACACAACACCCGTAGGAAAAACAGCCTAGGCATCCAATAAATTGATTGTTTAACATGGTGATAGCAAAAGCATCCAACACAATATAACCATAATTTAGGCCAATTATCCATTTATATTCAGGTAACAAAAAATTAACTATGCCAATGGTCAATAATACCAAACCTAAACCACCTTGTGAATAAAAACCAGGTCGAATAATTGATTTCAAGGAAAATTGACATTTATCTTCGATAATCCATGACGATAATCGAGCACCAATTATACCAATAAGAGCTGTACGTTGAACAGCGTAATCTATTGCTTGAAATTCATCCGGGTGACTTTTTTCTATTATCCAGCCAATAGCTAAAGCTCGGCTTATAGCACCACCTATTGTCTTCCACAGTGAATAATAATAGACTGCTACAATATAATCTTTGTAAATCGAACATTGAAACAAAACTGGCTGTGTTTGAATGATATGAACCATTGTTGTCCGATGTTTGGTTTCGTCCTCTAAATGTATAATATAGACAAAAAACAAAAATTTTCACTCTCAGATATTGTCTTACGTACATGTCGTAAAATATTCTATTACACTCTATGAAATGTTCCTGGAAACGATGCTGTGAGCATAGACATTTGGTTGGAACCGTTCATTAAATACGAACACCCTTGATGACAGAAAACGAATTATTTCACATACCTTTGATATGGATGAATAAATGCGCGTATTCAAGACGTACTTTCAATATGTATTAGCAATTATTTCACATACCTTTGATATGGATGAATAAATGCGCGTATTCAAGACGTACTTTCAATATGTATTAGCAATTATTTCACATACCTTTGATATGGATGAATAAATGCGCGCATTCAAGACGTACTTTCAATATGTATTAGCAATTATTTCACATACCGTAAAATAAAATCGTAGAATTAACCTCACAGAATTAAGAGAATGGATCTTGGAAAGAAAAAATCACTCTCTCTAGCACTCTCGGACGGTGTGAAAAGAAGTCGTCGTATTAACTTATGAGTGCAAGTTCCGCTAAGGTTTGATGAATTTCTT